CACTGTGTGGCAGGTACCGACTGATACTCCCACCATTTGTGATAAAACACGTACAGAAGTTCTTGGCGCATTTTCCATTATTTGTTGGACATTTTCTTTTAATTCTTCAGTCCGCTTTTTAGGTCGGCCGCTTCCTTCTTTTCTTGTTACACTGCCCGTTTCACGAAAAACATTAACACAACGCTGAACTGCACTTTGAAAAATTTTGTACTCAACAACGCCGGGAAATTGATTTTGAAATTCTATGAAACATTCCTCAATAGAATACTTCCATATTCCATCAATCTTGCGTCCATTTCTAAAGTAGGACTCTATGATAAACACTTTTTGTTCTTGAGAAAACACCATTTTAAACGCTTTTTAAAACGAAAATATTCAAATTGATAGCGGCGATATAGTGCTTTGACAGATGACGTTTAAGTTCATTTGCTATACGCTACGTCCTACGTCCAAATTTTCAGAACCAACTTGACCACGTTTTTATTTGAACGCTCGTTATATACGTCGACTAATTATTTGATTATAAATAATTTTTCATTCGGATTTAGGGAAACACGTACTATCACCCCTAAAAAAACTAGCCTCCCCCCCCCCACAAAAAGTTACACCCTGTATATCAGCACACTGCAATTTTATCTCGTCATAAATTTGGGAACATCTTAGGTCATTAAACGGGACTATTACCAACGCCAAATGTGCACAGGCGGTGGAATTGGCAGTGTCTCCTTAGGGCCATAACGAAAAGTCGCATTTTCAGTGTCAGATAGAGACTAGAGACACGAGATATGCCCGCATATCGTCGTTCCACTATGGCTGTGCAGATGTCAACGCATGTGTTTTCAATACCGTATATGTTGCTTGTGTCTCTAGTCTCTGTCTGACACTGAAGACTTGACTCTCCGTTATGGCCGTACTCTTACCCATCCAGATGAACCACAGGGTGTAACGATAATACCTGGAATGTCTGTCTGGTGGTATCACCACCGACTTCAGGGGTAGAAGCGACAAAGTTAGGAAGGTCTTCACCTGAAAGGTTTGTTACGCCAGAGAATGATGAAATTGAAGGCTAGGAAAGTCTCTATCCGTTACCAACGACCAAAGTCGCTAAAGTAGTGTAAGAGTGCCTACAAATTATTATTGATCCCCTTCGAGTGATGTGATTGGGATAATAAATGGAATAGTGTCAACGTCAATCGTTATTATTTTTTTGCTAATAAAGTTAAGTTTACCTGGAATGCACACTTGGAAAATGTGGTGAATAAGGCGAAGCAAACATTATGTGTATGCCGTTGCCTTATTGGGAGCACCTGATAGCTGAAGCCAAAGATGTCATACTGGATGTATACATCGATAGTAGGTTTTTTTATGGCGCTGTGGTATGGTGGCAAAAAACACAACAGACCTCAGCGAGGGAAAAACTGAATAGAATCCAGAGACTAGGCTGTTTGGGTCTAACGGGGGCGTTGGCGCTGCGCTAGAAGTCATGTTAAATCTACCACCGCTGCATATAGTGGTGGAAAGAGAAGCATGGCTAGCAGCTGACCGACTCAGGAACAATAACGACTGGAGGGATAGTCCCTATTCCAGGATTATGGACACATCTCTGTCGAAACCAACTCTTGGAATGGTATCTAACAATGTGGTTTCAAGGTTTCACTTCCACAAACCATTTGAGACTCGAATAGAGGATCAAAGCAAATGGGAGGAAAAGTTTGATACCCTGGAAAG